AAGCCGTCAAGTTCTTCGCCAAGATTGCCACCGCCAAACAGCGAAAGGAGTACACCACCAAGGCGAAACGTGATGTTTGGTTTTGTCCCGCCAAGCACGGAGACACCCCGAAAAATCTTGGATACCACAAGCTGAATGGGTTCACCAAGGAATTAGCGAAAATGTGTGGCTTGACCAATTGGGAAGACATTTCCAATCATGGTTGGCGAGCGTACGGAATCACAAAACTCCATGCCGCCCGTGTCGATCTCAAGACTCGATTGAAGATGGCACGACACAAGTGCGAAAAGAGTCAACTTCCTTATGCCCGCTTGACAAGTGACGGTCTGTTCAAAGCTCACCAGGCCTTGCGTGGGACAGATGATGCGATCGCTGCTCAAGACGACGACGATGATGATGGAGCCAAGAAACCCGCTGCCAAAAAGCGAGGAACCAAGACTCCCGCCAAAGGACAGAAAAAGAAGAAGAAGCCCAAGACGGCGGTGGCAGAAATTCCGGAAATAGTTTCCACTCAAGAAGAAGAGGAAGATGCGAACTCCCAGTTGACCGAAGGGAGCAAGGACCACAGCAAGATGTCGCGAGATGAGCTGTTGGCGGAGCTGGCTCGACGAGACGTCGCTGGATCGGTTGCCGCAGTTCCGAATGTTGGTGCTGGACCGGCGAGTGTTGCTGGATCGACGTTGGGTGTTGGATCGGCAAGTGTTGCTGGATTGGCGTTTGGTAGTGGGTCGGCGAGTGTTGCTGGGAGTCAAGGAAGTTTCGCAAGTGGACAGATGATGGCGGTCCCACAGATGCAACCACAAATGCCAATGGCGGTCCCACAACAACAGATGGCGATGGCGGTTCCACAACAGATGCCGATGATGCAACCACAAATGCAGATGATGCAACCACAAATGCCAATGATGATGCAATACCCCATGATGGGATTCAATCCGGCCATGATGGGAATGGGTTTTAGTCAGACATTTCTTCAGCAGCAATATGCGAATCAAATCGGTCCACAGATCATCGTCCCACAGATGCAGATGCAGCAACAACAACAAATCATGCCACAACAGCCACAACCACAGCAGGTGCTGTGCGTCCGGGATGCTAATGGGAATTTGGTACCGGCTGATAATCAAAATGGAGGCAATCTTGGATAAACGTTCACGATGGTTGAACGGCGGTAAGAACGGCAGAAACGCCATGGTGGTCTCTTTTTCGTGTTCCGTGGCGACATTGTGGGGCTTTTTTACAGAGAAAAGGGCATAGTTTGCTTTCGATTTTGCGGTTGTCGATTTTATGACCATAGAACTGAAGATCTGACTGGCAAAAAAGAACTTGACCTCTTGATTTTTACATCGGAGTGGTTCCGACTGTTGGTTGTCTCTTTGGCATACGTTAGATAACAACCCGAAATAATAGAAACAATTACAAATTGCCATAATCTCATTACCACAAATAGTCATTGAAAAATTTCAGAATAGGGAAAACACCCTTTGTTTCTAAAAGATACGGTTTATTTTCGTTGAATCCCACCTTGATACACATTTTTCGAAAATTCAATCACAAGAGCGTAGCGGTTCTCACATGGTCGCTGATTGTACGTTGAAACAGCAAAGAAGTTTCGGCCAATCTTGAAGATTCTTATTACCGGTGATACTTCTTTTCTTATAGGGATTTCCAAAGATGTGCGATTTTATTTTGTACTATTTTACTGTGTACACGTCACCCTTGGACACGGATTATTGATTACAGCACATGGAAAAGAACGCATCTTCGAAAATCAAGGAGTCGTGCAAATTTTACTATGAAATAAGCAGTGAGATGAAACTCACGACTGCTTTTCCGTTAACTCCAGGAAGAACATTCATAACCGTTGAAACACATGATATAAAATGCGAATTCCCTTACTTTATCACGCAAGTCTCATCCGGCAAAATAACTGTCACGTAGAAAATGTACCAGCTCTACGAGGATATCACCGGACAGATTATGTCTTTAATACGTTGTCGTCGTGCGTTTTGCGCCGATCGTCGCGCAGCGGGATTGCGGCGGGGGTTGTCCATGCCAGTTCAAGTTGGAAGTCGTGAGGAGTGTTGTCCTTGGGCTTGAGCTTTCGTTCAAACCGAATTTGTGAGGAGCTTTCGTACGGTTAGGGACAGTGGACGAGATGACGGAAAACCAACGGCTGGCGCTTGGTTAGGGTTCGTGCCAGATACTGGAGCCGTTATCTCTAACGCTACCGGTACCTGTGCTACCGGTGCGGTACCCGTACATCGTACCGTGCCGGTGCAGTCAGCTCCAGGTCTACATGTATTCATAACGCCACAAGCGACCTGAAACGTGCACGTGCGGAATGTTCAAGAAGAACGTGCCATGAAAAACTCTCTCCACAATTTTCATAAGAACGGGCACAATGGAAGTTGTTTTTGGGGAAGCCAAGTTGTCTACTCGTACCAAACCATCCCCCATAATTTCAAGAAGGAAACTTTGTGCAATCTTCCAATAGTCAGTGACCCTGATACAGTGGTAATCATGTGCAAGCCATCCAAAAAGACTGAGAACAATCGAGCTATGGTCGATGATAGTAAGGACCTTTGGGTTTTCGACGGTGGCACCGGTCGTGAGATTGAACGACGAGGAGGCCCTTTTCGACAACCCGAGTGGTCAGCATTGGCCTTGTACGAAGACCCAACCTTAGTTCGAGATATTCATCAATCCTTCATCAAGGCAGGTGCTACCGCCATTACCACCAATACCTACGCTGTCGTACCTTTCCACTTGGGCCAAGAACGCTACAACAAAGATAGAGAATGGCTATTGCAATCGGCTGTCGAGATGGCACTGCAGGCCAAAGGTGGTCGCAACAATATTCAAGTGCTGGGATCGATTCCTCCTATTAGTGGGTCTTATCAACCAGGTAGTTTCGACGAGTCCATTGCTGGCCCCATCATTAGAGACTTTTTGAACGCATTTCGGGGCAAAGTCGATGCTATTATTCTGGAAACCATGGGGTCGGCACAAGAAGCCAAATTCGCCCTGGAACAAATCTACCAAAGCAACATTCAGCTGCCGGTCTATTTGAGCTTTTACGTCCGAAACGATGCGCGGCTGTTGACGGGGGACACGCTGAAGGAAGCAATCGACTACCTCCGACAATTCGACCTGCTACAGCCTGACCGAGTGCCTCTTGTCATGATCAACTGCTGCGATATCAATGTCATCGAAGATAGCCTTTGTGAGCTTGCGATGGCCTTGGACACTTGTCAATTTCGAATTGGTGCGTACCCCAACGCGTTTTCCGCTCCTCCATCCGCTGCCGCCAACGTCAAAGCCAGGGAGGTGGATGGTAACGTATCTCCCGAAGTGTTGCAGTCCCTGGCTTGCAAATGGATCGGTGCATATGGAGCGAGCGTCATTGGTGGTTGCTGTGGCATTGGGCCGGATCACATCACGGCGGTGGCCCAACTAAAGAAAGAAGGATTAGTTTTGCCAGCAACAGAGCCCCGCATTGAGCCTCGTCCGGGCGATGTTCTGGCAACAGAGCCCCACATCGAGCCTCGTCTGGACGACGGGATAGCAGTAGAATCTGGAGGAAGGAGTGACGACGAAAACATAGAGCCAAACACAACCCGGGTGGCTTGCAACGTTCGAGGCTGTGGTTGTGGTGTACAGATTGGTTTTGGCCAACAACTTCTCCTATGTCAACATCTTGATGAGGCCGACCGATGACAAGAAGAGACCTCCTTGTTGTCTTGATTTCGTTGCTTGCTTTTATGTTCCAGCCAGTTATAGTGCCATTGAAAAGAGCAGTAATAGATACCGTTACCCTTTTGTCACCCTTTTGCACCTGACTTGAATTGCAGCTCTTCCTGGAAGGCCCCGTCATGCGACTTAAAGTCCCGGATCGGTCAAAGTCGCGTAGGATCGCTGAAAGTCGTTCACAAAGTCGCGTGCGAGTCGTGTGCGAGTCGCATGCGACTTTTGCACGACTTTCCAAACGACTTTCAGCGATCCTACGCGACTCTGTCACCTTGCTTATAGTCGTGCGAGAAAGTCGCACGCGACTTTCATGCGACTTACATGCGACTTTTCATACGACTTTTGATGCGACTTTGATGCTGTGTGCGACTTTATGCTAATTTTTGGCGACCAGCTGTCGCGTGACCGGGCCTTCCTGGTGTTTCGAAATGGCACAGCACGCGTAGCCATTTCCAGTATTTGGTACAGTAAAAATGTGCTTCCTGCCATCATCGTAGGTAGCGGTAGATAGCTTTGTGTTGCCACCCCTTGAAGGTCTATAATAATATGCGCGCTCTTGCCATGCCGGTGCCCTGCCTGTGTTGTACTGCATCATTGTACGGCGCCCGTCCCAGATACCGGTAGCAGTGGGGGACGTGGATACTGTTGCCCTGCAATTGTAGTAGAATGCGCTGCTACTAGATGGCTGATCTCGCTAGTGTAGCTACTAGTACTCTAGACTAGTACGTGCCATTTCCCAACGGGAGTTGTAATCCCTCCAGACGGCACTGCAGCTAAAGAGCGGGGTCTCTATTGAACCTACCATCGCAGAAGAACATACGACGTACATGTTCATGCCTAACCCAAGGCGGCGTGGAATGAATGAAGGCGTCATGGAGACTGGAGATGCTACCTGACCTTTAGATCGGCTACAAAGCGGGGCTACTAATAATGACACTTACTCTCTAAAAACTAATTGATTATCACTGTCAAAACTACCTGACTAAAGGATGGCTTCTCTGTTGTCTTTTCGTACCAACTCGCACAAACCACAAGGCGGACACACAAACAAAAAACAAAACAAAAACGACTCTGGAACAATCAAGTTGTGCGGTTGGTGCCACACTCTCTAATACACTCCCGGCAAGATTTTGTAGGGAACTAGCTCGCAGTACTCATCATAGTACTTTCCATACTTGGCATGGCACTTTTTCGCATCTCGTTCGGCTCGATCCGTCAAGAGGATTGTCAAGAATACCGCGTAGGACAAGGGCAATCCTCCGTTGTGAATTGGATTGGCCAGTAGACACCACGTCCAGGCTGCGGTCAGTTCAAAAAAGTATTGAAAATGACGAGCCGTACCCCAGAATCCGGATGCCAAAAGCAATGATTTCTTGACCTGCTTGGCACGCGTCTTTCGATCGGTGATGGTATAATATGCTTCAATGTACTTGGGAGGTTTTCCCCAGACGAGTGCTTGTCCGTTTGTGGCTCGAAAGATCTCTCGTTCTCGATCGGCCATGTAATTGAGTACGACCGCGGCCATGCTCACGCAGAAGAGCACAAAGGCAGGGGCAAAGGAGAATCCGGATGGATGCTGTACCAAGAATCTTGTATGAAAGGTGTATACAGCAGGTACATACACCAGACATCCCCATTGAATTTCAAATCCAGCTCTGTCGACAATGATATCAATGGATCGCATGTATCCCATTTCCCAAAAGAAGAATTTGACCAGGTATAGGTACTGGGACAATGCCGAGAAGAAGAGTCCCCAATCCATTTGTCCGTGGAGTGTGTAACTGCGGTAGCAATAACTGAATCCTGCGAGCATCCAGAATGTCATTGAGAATCGACAATTGATGAATCGTTTCAAATCCAATCCAAAGACTTGTGGGTATAGTTCGGTTCCCCATAGATAGTCCTTGACAAAGGATCCACTGCTCCCAGAATCTTGTGTCGATGGGAAGTAGATCCCCTTGTACGTGAGGAATAAGCAGAATACGATTCCAAATACATTCAAAAAGGCGAGAGATTCTGGGAATAGATCATACATGATTCCAAAGTCGTATAGATTGGCGACTCCCAAGTTGGATCCAAGAAAGAAGAGAATCGTGTAGACCACAAAGTGAGGGACTCCATTGTCGACATATCGAGGGACATGCCCTGTGGCTGTTTCCGGTCCATATTCAATCTTTCCCGGCAAGAGTCGTTCGAGCACCAACGCCACGGCCATAAAGGAGAGAATAAAGGCCATTCCACCCTGAGGACTTGCCGAAAAGGCAGCGGCTTGCATTCCATTCCAACACTCCACAGGGGCATCCATACAACCCGCCAGCATACCAGAAATGGGATACCGAGCCATATCCGGATACTGTGTCGCCATGTCTTGGCTGGTGACATGGGCCATCAAGAGGGACGTGAATGGAGCGGCGACGCAAAGACTCAAGAGAATGGGGTTGGATTCAAAACCGCCTTCCACAAAGTTGGTCCCTTCCGAGTAGTTGGAGGCGTGCTCTGACCTCACGGTAGCCGCAGCTTCTGCAGCTGCCGTCTTGGCACCGTCGGTACTAGTACTGGATAGTACCGACTCATAGGCAGCACCAGTGTTTCGTTGCCGAAGTTCCGATGGTGGCATGGTGGAAGAAGAGGGATGGAAGTAAATAAATGCTGTGCTCCACTGGACGCTACTACCGTTTTCTCTCCTCTTGCTAGTCTAGCTTGTACGTTAGATAGAGCCAGCAACGTGATCCGATCCAAAAAGAGAGGATAGGACACACGAAAATAGATGCTTGCTTGTGGAGAGCTGTCTTCTGTGAACAAGAGGCGACGCGGTCGGTGCTGGTACGGAGTGAAGCCAATAAAAGCAAAAAATCAAATTGAAAAAGATCCATGTGCGCTATTGCTGCGTTACCGTTTTAGTACCGTCGCACGCGATTTGCCCTGGTCGGCTGTTTAGACAAAGCCGCGTCACCAATTGCCAATGCCAAACGGCCAGTCGCTCGGTGATAGTTGTTTCGTCGATGTAACATCGAATCGAATCGAATTGAATCGAATCGAAGTGAATGCTGGTACGCGCATACCAGCAACCGGCTCGTTAACGCACACGAAAAATCGTTGTGAGGCCCTCACAATTTGAGCCCAAACCAAATCGATCGTTGGCCACTTTTCAGAAAGCAAGGACAACAACAAAGCAATCCATCAGTCATCAGACACGAGCAAGAGCTTACCCTACTCTATCCATTCACTCAGCTTCTTCAGTACCAGAATACGCATCCTATTAAGACCATGGCGGATCTTCGCAATCGATTGCGTGATTTGGGCGTCCCAGATGACGTTCCAGTCCAAGGTGGAAACGACGTTGAAATTCGAGATGAAGGAAATGGTATTTTGTTCATTGGCTTTGGCCACGACAATGATTGCTATCTATCATTTCATGACTTGACAATTGTTATACCCTTGATTGGACATCGATTTCATGTGCTTTGGGTAGATGTTGATGATGATGATATTGATTTGCAGGGTTGGGGATTCCCCCAAAATGAAGCCGATCAATTGATCCTGCTGTTCCAAACTTGCTTTCCAAATTTGAAAGCAGTCTCCCTTTATGGCATGATTTCAGATGAAACTCGTACAAGTCTCGTCCAAAGTCTCCCTCGGCGTGTGGTCAGTCTAGGCTTCACGTTTGCAAGCGCGGTGACGATGTTTCCTACTGCAATGTCAACGATCTCTGATCGTTACCCTGGATTGAAGTCACTGGAATTTTCATATATCTCGTTTGATCTTCCAGGTCAAGATACAGTTCCCTTCTTTGAGTCAGTTAAGAAACTCATCCAAGACTTGCCAAGTCTCCAAAATCTGAAACTCGATCATGTTGAATCCACCCAACCAGAAGATTGGAGTTTGGTTACCGAAGCCATTCTGGCACATCCCAACCTCAAGAAGCTCAAGTTTCGCGCAGATCATGGCTTTGATGGCTTTGACGAAACAACAGAACGCGCCATTGTTCGCCACCTCGGGGAAAACAGATTGAAGGCGACGCTACGACCCGCCGACAATACCGGTACCACTTTCGACCTTCACCGATGGGTGGTTACTGCCGCCGCTTTTCGTAACCAGTCCGGTTTCGGCTATCTGTTCTCTCCTGAGGTTATTGATCCGTGTGTCCTCGCCCAGTCAGCACTTGATCAGCTCCGTTTTCGGGCCGCTACCAAGAAGTATTTTGAAAACGAACTGGGCAAGATTCGAGTCAAGTTGGCTCAAACTCAAGAGCCCCCATGTAGCTGGATCTGCTTCGAGACAATGCTGGTTGCGAAATTGAATGCATTGGAAAGTGGGTCGCAAGCCTCTGCCTCGGTCAGTCAAACAACCGAGGACCTTCAACGCCTTGAGCGGGCTCAGGTCTTCGAGTATGAGGCTGCTGACTAAATGGATTGACAGCTGACGGCACTCTTTAGGACGAGCCTGTAACAGTTTCTGTCTTCCCGTTGCAAGTTCTTACTGGCAGGCACTCCTCCTTTTAAAAGCTAACACAGCATACCGGCACACTACATCAAATAAAGACATTAAATGGTTTCGTTTTTACCTGTTCCCCTTCCATTTTGTGCAGCTAGACTACACCCTGTAGTACAAGGAAGTTTCCGTATATGTACTGTACCACCAGTGGCTATTAACATTCTGCAGCTTCAGCTTCGGCTTCCGAAGCACCGAAGCGCCGAACACTGTGGCTCATCTTTGTCCGTCCCAAAGAGTGCACTTGAGTAGCAGGCAAGGGGCATCACGTCCACATTGCTCTCTGCACTATCGCCTTCGTGCGTGTGAACTCACGAGCTAGCCAAATACCTACTTGCATCTGTCCGTAACTCCCATATCCACTTTGCAAGGCACCTACTAGTACGCATCAGCCAGAAGGTGGTATGTACCGCTGATCTGCTGTTTTACCATCCGGAAAGCTGTTGTTGCCTGCCCCTTCTTGCCCCAATCTTTCCTTTTCCCCCGGTGACTGTCTTGCAGAGGCTACTACTAGCCACGTTGCATGGAGGAAACTGCTTTGCATGGCTATGGTTTCCGTTTACAGGGCCGTTGTAGGCGAACCTCCCAAGACCGGAACCACCACTTCACCCCAAAGTACATCGTCACTGAAGGTTCCAGCTGAGTTGCCAAACAAGTGCTGCGAAGAGCAACAACAACGTTTGGAGCTCTCGCTGAGTGAGGTACCTGGCACTGCATCTTCTGGTAAGGTGTCAACATAATTCTGCATCTCTGAGTTTGACTTGACTATGTGATGATCACCAATTGCATCGTGTTTGGCCCACCTTTTGCATCATTGAACAAGCCCCAGGCAACCTCTCTGGTCAGGGCAGCTTGCCTCTGAATCAACTAGCTAGGAAGCTCTGCAACACACGCATCCATCACCAACCAGCTAACCGAAAGCTTTGGAAACTTTTCTCCCTGATCGAAGCTCAGCAACGAATTCAGTTACCGTTGAGGTTTTCCGTTCTCTTCTGAAACTGAATCCCAATGCCCTACACCTGAAGGAGCTCAGGCGCCAAGGTTTCTGAGACGAAGAAAACAATCTAGTTTCTCAACTTTTGTTTGATACGTTCATGCGATCAGTTACCGGAAGAATTGGGCCTGCTTACTATCCAGTTGGGGGAAAAGACTTTGCCATTCTCAACTATCAGCGTCATCCGCTTGGCTTTAGTGTTGGTTATTTCATTTGATTAGTCAGTTTCCGCCATAAATTCAACAATCAACCATCGAAACGCGAAATCTATGCCCTTTTCTTTCCTCTCCTCGACAATGAAGCACTCCACAATGGCGGCTTGTAGTAGGTCCGTCTATCGCTGCTTTTTTAAAAGGAAGTGTTGGTTGTTTCATTTGGTTATCAATCTGTCTTGAACAAAGAACACGTACTCATCATACCGGTATGGTAACAGCGATGATGAGAGCCCATGCTATCGTACAAAAGCAAAACCAGCTCTCGAACTGCCCTTACAAACAGCTCTTGCTGGCTTTAAATTCCCAATGACGTCAGTACCGGTACGACAAAATCTACGCTTGGACGCACTTCTGGTGGGCCCAATAAGAAGAAGGTCAACAACGTCTAACAACGTGGCCGCATCAAGCTTGGCCGACCACATACATACTTGATGATCGAAGAAAAAAGCAAAGAGCTTCGGTGAAGAGGGACTACCAAACGCTGCTGTTTGCTTGTTCTTTTTTCTTTTCAAAAAGAACAAAAGACAAGCAGCAAGCTGGCTGGAAAGTTTGCTCACGTCGGCGTTGCTGCGTTGTTGCTGAATGAAGCTACCCTCTTTGTCCCAGAATTTTGGATTGTCAACCCCATTAAGACTGTTTTCGAAGTAGCTCATCTTTGGAGATTTTCTGAAACCACTACCCCTTCAACTACGTACTAGCACATATCGTACCTGCACATCTATCTGAAACATACTCCAGTTTTCCAATAAATGTTGAATATGCACCGTCCTTCCGATCAAGCAAAACTGCTTTTCTTTGCGCTCCTGCGAGGGACTGTGTCGGCGCTGGCAACCGATACCAGGGCAGCAGCTGCTGGAGTGACTCTGGCAGCGGTCAAGAGTCCTGTACTGGCGCCCAACATCCAGTTACGATTGGCCCAACGAGCCGACGTACCCTCGCTGCAACGATGCAACCTGGCTACCCTACCCGAAAACTACAACTCTCAATTCTACGTCAATCACATGCGACAATGGCCCGATTTGTGTTTGGTAGCCGAAGATAATAGCATGACCGACGGAGGGATGGAACCTGATCGCCCCTTTGGAGGTCCGTCCTTTCTTGGCAACCATAACAACAAGCAGAAATCCAACGTCGTGGCGTACGTCTTGGGAAAGGTGGAGGAAAGACCACCACATCAAGTGTATGAGTACGATGACGCGATTCAACCCATGTCATGTGATCAGGACCGATTCATTGGACACGTGACATCATTGGCCGTATTGCATCCCTACCGACGCAAAGGCCTGGCCGCCGAGTTGATGAAACAGCTGCATTATCATTTGGAAGAGTGCTATGGAGCTGGAGCGGTCGGGTTACACGTGCGCAAATCCAATGAAGCAGCCTGTCGATTGTACCAGAATTATGGTTACCAAATTGACTTGATCATTCCTGGATATTATCAAGATGGGGAAGATGCGTACTTTATGAAAAAGCCCTTGCTCCTGTCGGGGCCATCGTCGGTAACTGCCAGAGCCTCGGAGGTACCCAAGTTTCCCTTTTTGGGACGTCGACCCCAAAGACCGTGGGAAACTGGTCCTGTGGGTTTGCGTCTTCCACGAGGGTTGCGAGAGGAAGAGCGACCGTCTTATGCGCCCCAGGATCCAGCAGATGCAGAAGAGACCCCCGAGCTATTGACTGGAAGCATGTAGAAAATCGAGAAGGGCGTCACCACACGCAGCAATCACAACAAATTTTGAGCATACCCCATCTTTCTTCAATAAACTTTGAACAGCAACAGAAACAAAGCATATGGAACCCGATTGCATCGAACTGATTAGGCACAGTTGCAATGCAAGGAAAAATAATTAGTTTACACATCATACATACCGCCCACGCACTTGGCACGATGCAGGTAGCTTCAACGCTGCGCATGTACTAGTAGTCAGGAGCGCAATAGATACTACTTATGCATAGTAGTAGAACCCTGAGCCCGCTGTCACGTACCGTATGTTTAAAGCATCATCCAAACTTGAAGCGCATCATGCATATGCCTGGTGATGAGATTTGTTATGGAGCCGTCTCGTTCTTTCCCCACGCCGAGCAACGGGGCCTACTTTGTGCAATGAAAGCACGGCTAATGGAACGTTGGCTGGTACAGTTCCTTGGCTGCCGCCCATCACCTGTCCGGCTGGACTAGACTTCAGCCAACTCATCTGGCTGACCATGGAGCAATTGCTTTCGCTTTCGCTTTCGCTAACAGGTTTCACGTTCACCGATGCATCTATTTACATGCAGTGCGTGCAGTCGAGCGAGACCACATTCGCGACATCAAAGGCCGAGGAATCGATTCAGCTGAACTCCAACACACTTGAACTTTATCGAGACTCTTCTCCCACACAGTACCCATTCATCCTTTGCCTTGTACCTCTAAATCAGGTTGTCCTTCCTTATATCCAGCTTGTTTCCCCGCACCTACTAATTCGTTCTTCACTGCTTGCTCGCTTGGCCTTCCGAAGACCTTTGCTCTCTGATTCGATTCTAAAAGCTCCGCCAGCTAAAGCAACAGGGTGTTGCACCGCGGCCCGACTTGTACAGCGAGTCTCTAATGGTTAATGGATTCGCCTATGTAAGATTATATGTAAAGGTTTAGTTCTTGAAAAAGACACTTTCTGTGTTGTGTCAAAAGGGAAACTGGTAGCCAGATTTTGCTCCTCCCAGCCAACGGAGCTGGGATTGAAGATTCCTGTCGATTTTGTAGTTTACCGGTAATGTTGATTCATTGCTTGATTGCGTTGTTAGGAGACAGGCGTCAACTTTCACACCAACAAAATGGTATGTTCGTCGTCTTCTGCTGCCACCTTGGTCGCAATTGAGTTTTCGCCATCCATCATGATCTGGTCATCCTCCTTGGTGAAGCAATACATCATCAACTTGCACCACAACAAGGAAATGGCCAAGGTCACGACACTGAAGAGAATCTGGATATTCATTCCCAACAAGATATCGGTGACAGTCCATGCCAAGCAAACTCCCACAAGGGCGCCCACGACAAAGCGGCATTCCAGATGCAAAATCACTTCTTCGAGAAGTGCATTTTGATCATGATGGCGATGAGATGGAGGCAGGGATGCCTCAAAGACAATTGTAATGACAGATCTCAAGAAACCCAATGTCAAAATCGCCATGAAGGATGTAAAGGCACTCCATACCAAACTAAGCAGAATGATCTCCGTCTTGGACCTTGTCATGAGGTCATTTTCCCACAAAGCAATCACCAGAAAGTTGGCACCAAGGGTGGAGAACTGAACGAAAAATCCAACAAGTAGCCCGATTATCAAAGAGTGGTTCTTGAAAGAGGCAAATAGAGGCATAGAGGGGGCATTACGATTGTTGGTTGCTTCGTCGTGGTTGGACACATCAGAAGCAGATTCGTGGTGGGTATCCTCTTCCAATTTGAGGTACTCGTATTCGGTGGGAGCCTGTTGGAGGTCTGTCATTGTGCCTGGGTGGACGGGTGGAAGGAAAGAAACACGGAAGTTGGGATGCACGGGATGAGGAAGAAAAACTCGTTGATTGTTCTGAAAAATGGGTTGAGAGGAATCTCTGCTTCTTGCAACTCTTTTTCTTGCCAGATGCTTCGAGGAAAGTATCAATTCAGTGAGTATTCGAGGACAGCCGATGCTAGCTAGTAGCCAGGTGGTGAGAGCAAAGGCCAGTGGAGTGGGTCTTGACGAAAACTCAGTGCTGTGATGAAGAATGAAGAAATGATGCCAGATCGTAGCCAGCAGAAAATCCCAAAGAGAGCCGAGTCGAGTCAAGTCGAGTCATTGACACAATGTCGCAAGAGAGAGAAACGGTACCCCAGGGCTTAATTTCGTTGAGAACTATTAATTAATTACTCTTCTGCAGCAGCTCAAAACCTCAACAACTTTTAACGCGATAACACGATGTACAGTCGTATGCATACCGGTATTGCTGGCCATGATGGCACACCAGGTGCTGGTGATCTCCACCTGGCTTATCTACCTGGTACTAGTACAGTACAATCAACAAGGATACTCATTCATACACCACCATCTGGTGAAGCATTATGTGGAATGGCCTGCTCTATGGAGACATGTGTGAGGTGAGGCCACATGGGAAGAACCAGCAATGTGCGTCCTGTCTCATGTGGAATGAGAGTCGAGTCATTGGAGACTCTAGCTGAGATCTGGCTGAAGGCAGGTTAGCCCCGATTTGCTGACAAGGTCGCACGGTACCAGGACATGCCACTCCTCCTAGCTAGCTGCGTGTGGCGGTATCAGTTTCCACCTGATCAATTGAATTCCGGTCCTGACTGATTGACAGACGATAATGCAATGCAGGTCAACTTTGAGTAATGCAGTAATGATTGAACAGATCCAGATAACCCCCCCCCCCCCCCTCTCCACGCTGCTGGCTGCTAGTTGTGCTATCATAGCTAGCAACTACTATCAATACCGATACGCTGTACCGTACCGTACTGTACTGGCAGCTACCTCGTTAGCTACTGCCACTACTACTAGCTAGCTAGACTATGCTAGCTAGCTCTAGCTAGCTACTAGCTAGCTACCAGGAGTCGAGTCTGGCGAGACAAGACTTCGCAAAGTCCCGCAGAAACCCTAATGTTTAACCCCAATGACAAAGTAGCCGTTGGTTTTTCATTCTTGTTTTGTTGTTCCGATGAGCACGTTTCAAAGCTGTCTCTGCTCGGCGTCTCGACTCCGCGCCAAAATTAAATGCTCGTCACGCGAAAGCTCCTCACAAATTCGGTTTGCAAAACATCGAACCTAGCCAATGACAACACCATCACAATCCTATAGTACGCCGTCCTCACCAAAGTCCACAGCCGCGAAGAAGAGAAGCACTACCCCAAAGACACCCAGTTCCACCAAGAAGAAGAAACGTACTCAGACACCAGCGCAGAAGCTGCGAAAGGCCGAGCGCCGTAGGGAGCGAGACGCAGAAAAGAAGGAAGCCGCTGCAAGACAAGCCGTCGAAGAGGAGGAAGCCGCTGCAAGAAAAGCCGTCGAAGAGGAGGAAGCCGCTGCAAGAAAAGCCGCCGAGGATAAAGCGAAGAAAGAAAGAAGGGCTGTAAAGGATAAGGCACGACACGCTCGAAACAAGGAAGCAGCAGCAGCAGCTAGAGCAGCCGCAATGTCAACACAGAACACCCCAAGCGCGCCAAGCAACACCGGTCCTCTCATTGACCCAAATGTATTGAAGCTGTTGTCGCCCACTCAAAGAGGGCACTACATGAGTTCGCAGTATATTGCGCACACGTCGGCAAAAGCAAACGAGACCAAACGCGCCGTAGCCAGGGACACAAACGAGTCCATCGAAAATAGCCGAGTATCGGACGTCGGGCTCTTCGGATCTATGTACAATGAAACGCCTGCTGCAGCAACGGCACCCACGGCAACAGCCGGCTTCGGCGCCACGGCACCGGCAACAGCCGCTGGGACGCATGGCGCGGACCATGCCGGTGGTGGCTTTGGCATGCCCGGCACGGCTCCAAATCCAGTTCCACCGGCCTCGAGCAGCGGGTACCAGTACTCGCAGCCCCACCAGAGCAACGTCCCACCTGCCAATGAAGCAGCGTTCAGCGCCTCGAAGCAGGCGCCCTTCAGTCCTCCCCCGTTTGGACCAACCCATGCTGCCCCGTACGCCGCAGCTCCTGGGCCATTCAACGCTCAGTTTGACACGCCGTTCTCCCCTCAGCGGCCACAGGCCCAGGCAACGAATCAAGGGCCACCACCTCCAAGCGCCGCCTGGGTTGGTACCCCCCAGCCACCCCAGCCACGTGGGTATGCTTCGCCGCCTCCAGCCAGTTTTACGAGTCCAACGACTCCAAGCGGCGGCCAGCCTTTCACGGCTACAAATGGGGTCCCAGCCACGGCATCCGTATCCGCTGGCAACGGATTCGGCGCCAACAATGCGACTTTTACGCCGCAGCGCCCAACTGGCCACGCTGGCTTTACGACGGCCTCGAGCGGAACGCAGCCCTTTGGCTCGCCTCCGCCGCAGCAGAACGCGACATGGGCTACGCCTCAACCGACCTATTATGCACGGAATGCCTCGGCTGCTGGCTTTGCCCCCCCCCAGCCATCGGGGAAGCCGGGTCTTACCACCCCGACGACGCAGCAACACGCTGCAAGAGCTCCCGCTGGAGCCAAACACCAGATTGGGGCAGAAGTGATTTACTGGCCGCAGGATGGAGGCAGGTTCCCTGCGCACGTCCTCCGCGTCGATGCAAAAGATGGCCTACCGGTCTACGCAATCAAGAAGGTTGCTAACGGCGAAACGGTCCAATCTGTGGACCAGAAGTTGTTGTCGGAAACAGCATGGGTCTATACCGGGCCCGGGGGGGACGAGGACGACACTCAAATGCCAGACCCAACCCATAACCACTTCGATGGCGAGTCCGCGGAGACGGAACATCTTTTTTCGCCGGGAAAAGGATCTAAGAAAAAAGCGGCCGCGCACATTCCCCGTGACCGCGCTCACTTCGACGCACGGCGTCACAATAGTGCCCGAGACCCTAAGAAGGTCCATCGACATGGGGATGGCACCCCTGCGGACAGCAGCCATGCTGACGGCACCCCTTTGAAGAGCACCCCTGGGGCCAGCAGCAGCCACCAAAAGTAGGCTACATTCATCATCATGTCCAAAAATTGACCACGTACACATGGTCCAAAATCGACGACGAACACACAGAACATGCAAGCAAAGTCGGTCGTATTCATAGGCTCCCCAAACGGATGGGTAGTAGCCTTCTTCAAAATGATGAGCCAAATTACAAAATAGGAAATAAAACAAATTTACAATCATTGAAACCAAACTTGACTACTGTCCACTATGCTTTACTTTGAAACTCTTCTCAATCGGCACAGCAACGTGGGTTGTAGCCCTCACATTGTCTGCGCTACCGGTACCGATACGAAGGAAGGCCCCTGATTATGAAACGCTTTGTGCTTTTTTATATCACAAATAGTCTTTTTTACGTTGTCTTACTCAAAGCGGCAATGTTCTAACTTTGGACTTCAACCAAATGTGTCATCAGTCAGATTCTGCTCCAGTTTCGCTCGTCTTCGTTCCCGCAACTTGCGACGACGTTTCAATGCTGCTGCGCGACGCCGTTCCTTCCTTGCCCTTTCTCGCTCTTCTTCAGTCATGTTGTTGGCCGAATCACCATCGGAATCCGATTCATCACGTCTCTCGACAGCCGGACTCAGAGCACGCCCATTGGCCCTCGACTTTCGCGACGCTCTAGTACTGTTGGTGCGTTTGCTTGCTGTCGTTTGAGACACTTTTGAGGAAGAATCCTTGGAAGAAGATATCTTCTCTCTCTTTGAGGCCTTCTTTGTGGCCTTCGTCGACTGTTTCGTCGACGAGACCTTGCTGCTGGATACTCGCTTGGAAGATTTATCAACCAACCCTCCTGTCTCTCTCTCTGGCTGTGGTCCGTTGCTCGGGATTGGTGATTTTGCTCTTCTGGGACTTGGTGATCGAGTCGCTGGCCGTGGTGGGCTTAGAGACCCTTTTGCTTCATTCGTTGAGATATGTGGGGCTTTGTCGTCGTGGGTGCCGTGCGATCGTGGAGGGCTTGGAGATTTTGAACGTGCCTTGATGGCTTGCTTACTGCTACTTCGTTTCGATTTGCCCTTGATTTGATCGGAAACCAGAAGAGAGGGAGAGGAAACGTTTGAATCTTTGTGCTCGTTGACTGGATTGACCACAATGTTTTTTGATGCAGCCTTTTCGCCGTCAATAGGTTTTGAGGTGGAGGCTGGCTTTTTCTTCCGCCCGTCCTCGTTGATATCAGCTTTCTTTGTTTTTGTCTTTTTCACTTCTTTCTCTGCGCGTTTCGGATCAGGCACTGACGGTTTGACCGCAGCATCTTGGACATTCTCTTCGTCTTCAGAGCTGAGAAAGTCAAAGTTGTATTGGCTGCTGGACGGTGTAGATCGTGACGATGGTTTTGTCGGGTTTCGGCTATTCTTCGAGGGTGAGCCCTTCGTTTCGCTCTTCTTGGAAGAAGAGGCAGTGCGCGCCGTCCCTGTAGTCTTCAAGGTGGCTATTACTGTCTCGTCATGCTGCGTGTTTCCTGAGGCTTTCTTCTGAGTTGCTTTTTTCTTCTCGTCGCTCACAGGCAAGACCTTGGCCTGGGCACTCATATCTGAATCAGATTCCTTCCGGTCGTCAACAAGGCTCTTCTTACGAGAGTCCGCAACGTGCTGTTTGAGCCTCTCCGGTTTCTCGACCGTGTCAGAAGACTTCTTCCTTGATTTTTCAGTGTTCCTATGGTGTTGCTCTTCACCATCGACACCCGGTGAAGATGGACTTTTCTTGTTGGGAGGTGTTTCGGCCCTCTTGCCTCTCTTGTGACGCTCTTCGACAAACTCGAGTGCTGTCTCTGCGCGGCGTGAAGTCTTCTTTCCATGACTGCTCTTCTTCTTTTCTCCTGAAGCGGGCACAGATGCCGATGGAGTCGTCGAGAGAGCAGGACCCTCTCGAGCGTACTTCGACGCCACTGCATTACGCAGACTTTTCATGGCTTTGCTGGTTTTACTCTTCTCTTCTGCTTCACTCTTCTTTTGGCGCGTCATGGACTCCCTCAACAAAGATGGGCCATCAAAATCGCCCGATTTGAAACCACAGACCAGCTGCTCCTGCTTCTTCTCGATCCAACCGAAGGTTGAACTAACCAAGTTGGACATGAAGTTCTCAGCAAACCCCCCTTCTTCGTCAAAGAACTCGAGGTCAGACTCATCCTCCGTTTCTACGATTGATATGAAAGAATCGTAGCTGGAATCAGTGACAGAACCACTTGTTGACTCGGAGATATCGCTGGAAACATTGCTGCTTCCAGAACCATAGTTATCACCATCTCCATCTCCATCTCCATCTCCATGCTGGTCAGACATTGGAAACTCCTGAAGATCAGACGCAGAACTTGAACTTTTCGAAGCAGCACTGATTGCCAAATTGAAGTCGTAGTCCAAAGAAACAACTCCGTTTTCCGTGCTTTGTTTTTTCTTGAGGTTCCGTTTGTTGTCCGTCGTAATCTCAATTTCCTCGTCATCCTCGTCCTCCAAGTCTACAAAGTTCGGGTTGAAATTGCCTCCTTTCTCAGAATTGCTTTTGTCTGCGCGGGGTGTATTGCTTCTAGGCCGCGGGGGTTCTTCGTGATCGCTGGAGAACAGGCTCCCGTTGCTAAGGTTATCCAAAAGTGCATTGGCTTTGTCATCCTCGTCTTTTCGAGACAAGCGATTAGGCGAGGATCGTTTCGGGGTTGAATCTCTGCTCTGCCTCTCCAGCCTCTCCAGCCTTGGTGTGTTTCGGCCGGAGGCTTTGGTCTGCTCTTCTCTCAGTTTCTTTCCTTGTTGCATTTCCTGTTTTTCAAGCTCGTTCTGCCTGGCCACTCTATCTAGAGTTTCGTCGATCTTTATGCTGTAGTTGACTGGTGCATCGTCCTTGTCAAGTGGGACAACTCGTTCGAACTCCCTGTCAATGTCCAGATTTGCGCCGTCGTCAGTGTCACTGTCATCAAGCACGGCTTCTTCAAGTTTTGGACTTGTTGCACTCTTCGGACTGTTCACTGCCCCAACACGTGTGCCACTCGGCAATTCTTCGAGGCTAGCGAAAGTATCTCCATCAGAATGTTCAGCCTCCTTTGCATCCTCCACTTCAAGCCTACTTCCATCTGGCTCAAGACGATCTTCGTGGTCGTTTTGTTCGATGTCAGGCCGACCAAGAGCAACTGGCCCTTTGTCTTCTTCATCATCTAAACAGTTCAAGATCTCGTTGCCACGAGATTCAGTGCTCTTCAACTCGTCTTGGAGAATATGATTTGTTGGAGATTCAACAAAGGCATCCTTTCGCGGGATTTCCATGTGTGGGGCATCCCTGCGTGGTCCATCTGTGCGAGTCGCTTCAATGCGCCGACTCTCCTTGGTGCTTGTAGTCTCATCCTTCAGAGTTTCAGTGTCACTAGGATCACAAGGATCATTGGGTTCGACATCGGTAACAAAAATCTTGGGGTCGGGCTCTGGGTCTAGCATGGTGTTATCTTCCACGTGGACGACACTCTTCCCATCATCTTCTTCGATGATATAAACAACATCGGTCGTGCCTTCTGGATCTTCTGCATCTATGCTTTGCTGCTGAACAACGACCTCGTCGTCGCAACTGTGGTCGCTGCTGAGATATCCGCTGGGTCTGTGCCCGTGGCCGTTCTTGGTACCAGGCATTGATTCATTCTTTTCGTCGCCTTTTTTCTCTAAATCAATCACTTGAACTTCTTGGTCGCCTTCACCAACATCGTTCATTTCTCCTTCTCTCATCACCTCTTCTCTCATCACCTCTTGGCTCTTTATGGCGCTCAGGTTCGGAACAACGTTTTGACCGTCGACATCAATGACTTCATTGCTTCCGCTCTTGATTGGTAGAGGTGCGGGCTGAACACTGGAAGCACTTGGCTTTTTTGTGGGCGAAACGGCCACCGCAATGGGGATGAGAGGAGCTATTGGAGATGGAGGCGCAATCGGAGCAATAGCAGGGCTGACCATATCCTCAATCGTAGGGCTACGAACTTTTGGTCTAAACTCTTGTCGATAAGGACCTCGGTTTCCGTGGTGCTTGTCAAGCTTACCCAAAATATCTTCATTGTCACTGCTTTCGTTCAGGCGCTTGATGACCTGATCATCACCTTCATCGGTCCGCTTCGGCTTGCTGTCGGCTACGCTAACCAGATCAACGAATCCTTCCCGCTGGTCTTCTGAGTCTCCTTTCAACCCATGCTGTTTGTGTTTCCTCAAATCAGCAACATGTTGCTGGACCTCCTCAAACACAGCACGAATCGCTCTCTGTCTATTCTCTGCGTCATTTTCACGCTTTACAATGTGATCCAGTCTATCATTGATATCGTCATAGACCTTTGTGACTCTGACTTCAGAGTCAGCCGGTCCTCTATTAATCTTGTGGGTCGACGCGTCTGCTTCAGGTTCTGCCCCCTTCGTCGACGATGGGCTGTTGATCCGATTTGATTGCTTGGGGCTTGGGCCTTTTAGCTCGGCTCCTCCCACACTACCGGTACTATTCTCGTGATTTTTAGACGACCGTTTCTCTGCCAAGGGGTTTTCACGTTGGCGTTGCTCGTGGTTGTTGGCAACCAAATGACGGGGTGAGGTTTGCTTCGCGGTTTCGCGGCGAGACCGGGTGGACGATTCTCTTGCATTAGCTGCTCCAAGAACAGCACTTGATTTCCCTTTCTCCTGGGTAATCGACTCCCCATCTTGTTCCATGGTTGCATCAGGAGACAATGTCCCGGTCTGTTGTTCTGCCGGAGGCGACCCAACACTGGGATTGCGTCGGATTGGAATGCTACTTTCATCTCTGGTTGGACTACTGACGACGCTTCTAATGGCAGCGGGATTGGGGTCCTTGGTAGTCGCAAATTCGTCAATGTCTGCGCTGGTGTCTACGTACAAAGCACTGGTGGCACTGCGACTATCGAATCGACCGTACCCTTTCGAACTGTCACGACTCGCACCCACCAGATCTGGCGTCGAGATAACTGTATTGTCATTGCCTTGAAGCATACTTGTGGCTGAGCTGTCCAGCTCCAAATTAAACACACTCTTCTTGGACTTGCGCCTTGCCCTGTTCCGACTGATCCTGCTACGGGCATTCTTGGCCTTCTTCTTGCGAAGTCTTCGGCTGAGATCTTGGTCCCCGCTGTTCAACAGTCGTTGACTCAAGTCGTCAATGTCAAAGTAGAAGACTTTCTTTTCTGAAGCTTGTGCCACGCTCATGCTTTCTCTGGTACTGTCGGGAGGTACGACAGTGCCACCGCCATCCGAACGAGGACGATTGATAACACCGGGAACAGTATGCATGTCGTTGTCAGGGGCACTGTCAAAGGTAAAGACGCTTTCTTCCGGCCGTTTCATCCTGTTGAATACCGGTATAGTAGCGCCTTGGACATGCCGTGTGGACGTGGTTTCCATTAGGGAGCGACTGTCCAACCGACTGGAGCTTGTCCCGAAACTACTTCCATAGATTGGAGAATCATCCAGCAGCTGTTCATGATGCTTCTTGCTTAATGTGGAGGGCCGAGACAGACCGCCCGTTCGACCTCTCGCAGAGTGAACGGGTCTGTCCCTTGTGTCCACCTCGTCGAGTAGCTGGAAGTTTCGAGAGCGACCAGGGCTCTGTCTGTATTCATTCTCAGCCATACCATCGTTGAGGGTGGTATCAATTGGATAATCGTCATAGTCAACCGGGGGATCTTCATTGTTTTCAACTCGATACACTCGGTTGGGCTCCACGTCTTGCTGTTGGGGCTGAGGATGCTGGTGAGGGAATTCTTCGGGACGATCAAAGCCGCCCATCATGAAGCTGCGTCGCTGCGCAAAGTTGTGCACTCGCACAGCTTGTCGTGGACTGGATTGGTTACTTGGGGATGCTGATAGGTTGGGTTGCGGCGATGGTGCTGGTTGCCGTGGGCTCGCATGATTGGAAGTGCTTGTATGGTGAGGACTGCCACCACTACTGTGTCGAGGGCTGCCCTGTCGGGAATGCCGAGGACTACCGTGTCGTGCTCCTGCAGCATGGCGCGGTGAATGATGAGATCCAATCACCCCTCCAGCGCCAGAATGACGAGGGCTAGAGTGGATACTCGTTGTGGGTCGAGGACTCGAGTAGTGGCTGCTTGAGTACGTAAAATCATCTGCAAAATCATCGCCCCCATAGTCCACCATATCAATCACTATTGGAGCATGTTCAGAGCGTCCATAACGTCTCGGTGAATAGCCTCTCTGGCTCATTGCAGCAAAGCCTCTAACGACACCTCAATGTAGCTTGTCTTGTCTCCCTCAGACTCCGGTGATTCCTTCCGATGCACAGTCCACGTCTCCCTGTTGCATCTGCCTGTATTAGTAGCTAGCTCTACTACGCTCTGATCCTTCTCTCTTCTTTCTAGTCTCGACTAACTTGTGCTGCTCACTTTCTGTTTTCTCCTTCTTCATGGACCTTGACTACAGCATCAAGGGAAACACAATACGGTGGAGGAAGAGTGTTGTTCAGGGCAGCAGAGCCTCTCCTTGCCTGGAGGGAGTGACTGTGCTCGAGGTTCGACAGAGCAGTTTATGGCTGAGGCGATCTTCAGCGATTGGCGTGATGGGAAGTTCTCTAATTAACCATAATTGTTTAGGTCCGAGTGCGCACGCCACTTGGATTAAGGCCGCTAATTTAGAGTAACTATGAGCCGATTCTTCGATATAGCGCACGGGGACATTTGATCCAATTCATGACGCCAACTTTTTTGCTAACCGGTTTTCCAAGCCCGTCTCACACGAGCTGGCCATGGTTCTTGCTTGCCACTCTTGCTGCTACATGTAGCTACTAGAGAGCTACCTGGTAGCCAGAGTAGCTATGCATAGCAGTGGTTAATGGCTTTAAAGAGCCTCTCTAGCTAGCTTGCTAGAGTGTTGCCGTTTTCATTTTCCATGCAGTGTCGTCCTTTGTACTAGCGTAGAGCTCTAGTACAGTAGGTTGCGCTCGCACTATTTCTTTGTCAGCAAAGCAGGAGATTGGGTAGGGTAGCGAGCCTACTATTATTTGCCCCGGGCCGTCACTACGAGCTCCCTTCACCAGCAATAGCTCAAGAAATTCGGTGAACTAGTACGCCCAGGACAAAAAGTACGAAGGCATTTTCACCAAAAGCTTTCCCAAAGCAGAGAAGACGGCAACGGTAGTATTTTAGCCTAAAAATGCTCAATTTCCAATCGAGGAGGGAAAGCAGCAAGGCACCAGCCATGGTACCAACGCATGTACTCAGTAACAGTTGGATATGGGGAAGTACACTGTGTATCTCTTGTACCGGTAGACACTGACAATGAATGAACATTTCCCATCAACTTGCTGCTATCTAGCTATTCTTGTAGCCAGGTACTGGTAGCATCGCCACACGGCAGCAAGAGCTGCAGCAACAGCTGGCCTGTTAGCTGGGGGTCTGGGAAAAGGACTCGATCGACTCGCTCGACTCGGACTCGACTCAGGACCTCCCGTGTCCTTCAATCGGGGTTGATGTGCGTCCACCCTGAGTCATCCCTAAATACTGTACCCACCACTTCCGTTGAGACTTATGTCATTTTGATTGCTGTATTCATAGACATTAATGCTTTGAGTAGAGCTCACGACTAATAATCCTAATCTCAGACCGAATTGTTGTCACAATTCTGTAAACCCTAATTGTTCGGATGACTAATTAGAAGTTTTTGCTCCATAGTGCCATATTTCGCGCGTTAAATGAGGTCCCACTCAAATGAGACGCCGTTCCCTCTCATCATCACGTGACATACTACCAGTTACCAGTAACAAACAACAAAGGGAAGGAACACAAGCAAATAGGTATACAGCCTTCCTGGTACTAATACATAGTTTGGCCAGGAAGTACAGTAGTGGAAGCCAAGTTAACAAGGCAAACCTACATGTATCATCCAAGCAATCCTACCGTACGCCAAGATTGGCAGCACCCATCAAGTCAAGATAAGCGTTTCCATCAAGAAGTAATCGTACAGTGCCGCCGCCAACCTAACTAGCTAGTAGGCATAGGGTCATTACCCTTCCATCCCATCCAAGTCAACAAGAACACCCCATTAAGCTACTAGGGTAGCCGAGTCGAGTCGATTCATCATTCAGGAATCCAGCAAGCATATAAACGAACTAACCAAGCAACCAAGAGGCTACCTATACCAGAGTCTTTGATACGCAAGAAGGTAGCACAAAACCAAGCTACCAGTACGACAATTAGCAACCATCAAAATCCGTCGATTGGCAAGATGATGGAAGCATCAGAATTTGACGATGAGCTCAGCTGCGTTAGCGGGGATGGTCCCATGTTCACTGTCGATGATGACGAAATCAATATCGGGGGAGTCATTCCTGATACCGAAGAGGTTTTGCGGCAAGAATCCGTTGAAATGAGCATGCGACAGCGAACTCGAGTGGGTGGAGCAGCTGTGGCAGGAGGCGTCACAGCAGCGTTGTTATCGGTGCCCTTGGTGGCTGTGAGTGTGACAGCCTTGGCCATTACGGCGCCAGTCGTTGGAGTCACAGCAGCTGGCGGAGCAGCTTACATGGCCGCCACAACGGGCACATCCCCACTAGAACCGATGCCTGATGCTAGAAAGAAGGAAGAATCAGAGGAGAAAAGAGAGCAGAAGCAAGACAAGGAAGAAGCCAGCTTGGAACCTGAGCAAGACAACAATGTCACAGCAACCGAAGCACAAGAAGTGAGCTTGGCAACCGAGACTATGGCAGCACGGAGTCGCCTACGATGGGTGCCTGGTGTCTTTCAAAGAACTCGGAAACCTCTTGAAAAGGCGGAAATTGACATGAAAAAAAAGCGAGATAACGATGACGCGTCTGAGCATACGGATGCCTCGTCTTCTGAATTGAATGAGCTTGTTCATGACGACATGGATGACAATATTTGTGAAAATATCGACGAAGAAATAAAGCAACAACCAAAGGGCCCAGGGCTACGAATGGGAGGAATGATGTGGATTATGGCAAGCAAAAACAGCCCTTCAGGAGAAGTTGAGACGATAGAAGAAGCGGAGGACGCCAACAGCTTTGATGACAGAGAAGAAGATCCAGATCAACCAGCTGGCAAAGCAGCAACACCGGAAAAGAATACTAACAGAGGCATTTTTGGATGGGTGACGCAGCGGAGACAGAATGAGATGGAACAAACTCCGTCCACGGAAGAAGAGCAACGAACAACACCAACCAAGGCCTTGGAAGACGACGAGGACGACAAGACACTGGAATCTCCAACTTCGAGCAACTCTGGTGGTTTTGACACCCCAGTTAAGGCAGCTCCTCCCACCTCGAATAGTTGGGTGCCACCCGTGTTGGCGCGACACTTTGGACGACTGTCACGAGAGGCCGACACGGAAAGTGGCGACGGAGAGTCGGATAGCAGCGGAAGCTACAGTGGTGGTAGCATCTACGAAAGCGGGGAAGATGACTACGATTCGGAGAGCGACGACGATAGTAGTGAAGAGGAGGTGGTATTTGGTTACGATGACAGCAGCATCGCTAGGCATACTAGTAGTTCTCCAAAGATGGCGCTGTTTTCAGGAGAGGATTTGGTGGAGGGACCTCTTGCACAAGTCAATCCTCCGGCTATTGTGTGAATTGACAATAGCAATGATCAAGCGAGATACAAAGAGAGTTCATACCGGTAGAGTGAGCATGGGACGGATCCGTCCCTGCGCAATAGTTCCCCATTGTTTTTCGTTTTGGGGATAATCATTGCTGTTTTAGAAATAAGACAATGGTGGACACTGTTCAGCACCTGATGATTATAAGCAAACTGTACGTTATTCAACTTGTTCTGAAGTCTTCCGGTGTTGACCGCGATCGTTGTTGTCGAAGTCTCAGAGAGACACTCTTGTTTTGACTTCCAGACCCGCAATTATTAAAAGTACGTATAAATACGAAGGGGTTGCTTAGTTTTCGCGCAAAACAATTCCATCTATTTGATCTTGGCCAGCGTATCTGCCAAGGTTTTCTCCAGGGTTGCATGAAAAACCTCTTCCATTTTGGCTGCCAATCCTGGCTGATGTTGTGGGTTGACACAAGCCACATTGGACCAGTCATGAAACGATCCATATACGTCGACCCAGCACCCAGAAATTCTCCACAGCCTGTTCTTTCCGGACCAATAACATGCCATTCCATATCCCTCCAGCATATCAATGGCATCCCTTAAGTTCTGATTGGCCCAATCACCGACATTGTGAAATTCGAACTCAAGATAGTCGGTTCTTTGGAGTGTCCTGGGACCAGCCTTCATGACAGTGTAGTCGTATCCCTCAACATCAATGGCTATGAAGGGTATCCGACTTGTACTGCCAGCCTTTCCATGATCCACGTGCTTGGCGACAAATTCATCCATGGTCATTGCAGGGACATCTGTACAAATGTTCTTCCACTCCGGCTTTTCGGCGCAAGATCCCAGTCCAGTGGCTTCGTATCCGGCCCCTGTATTGGGAAAGGTAATTGTACCCACTCCTGGTTTTCCCGCGAGAGCCACATTGTGAATATGCATACCGTTTTGTGCTGCTGCGGTCATCTTGGCAGCATGTCTCAACTTTTCGGCAGTATTGGGAACTGCTTCTACACAGTGGATTTCCACCGGTCGCTTCGGTAGAGACGGATCCAACGCATAAATTGACCTGGTCTCTGTGTCTTGTCCACAAGCTCCTGGAGCTGGAATGTCTAGGTGGGATTTCCACTTGTCCTTGTCAAAGACGTCTCTTTTCCTGGAAACATCGGCCGCAACTCGCACGGCATCATACCCCTTGTTGCACCCAAAATTCAAAAAGACGAAGTTGTTGTCGGCTGGGTAAGTTTCGAAATATTCGGAAAGCCAGGCGTCCGATACGGGACACCGCGACAGGTATGCGACATGACCAGCCGTCGGCAACTCTCGTTGGATCATTTGTCGCTCCAAAAAGGAGCATTTCTCGATCACTGAACTTGCTGTGCTTCTGACTGCATTGCCGGTACCAGTACTGACTGATGGCACCGAAGCATCCAACGCCGAACTGACAGTTGCCCAACCCCTTCCCAGCTGTGCCCCCGCTGCCAACAGGACAAAGCTAGAGAGAACAGCCTTGATAGCACTGCTGATACTATACTTGTTTCTGGCTTTCCAGTCCTCCTCTTTTCTGCTGCTTGGCTTTGGTTTGGGCTTCGGCTTGGGCATATTGAAACACAGAAGATAATAGTGAGGCGTCGAGACGTCGGCTTTTGGTTTTTTCAGTCGAGTGACTCAGTCGAGTCAGGAGTCCTCATTGAACGGAGTCGACAAGACATTATTGAGACATTGAAATGGTCACAATGACCTGACCGACAATTGCGTCCACCTCCCGTTCACATTTTCGTCCATTTTCCCTCCATCCTCTCTTCACCTACCGTAACTATTAATAATAGCTACGTACCGGTACTCTAGAGTACATGTACATGCAACTGTAGATTGGGTTCCTTGCTTTATTAGTTGGGCTGGCCAACTTCGCAGCAGCAGCACCGGCCTGGATAAAGAGACGTACGATCGCAATTGTACTGCATGAGATGCGTCATTGGTTCACTTTCACTCGTTTGTCGAGCTGTGAGAAACTCCATCGTGGAGACAACCTGACAGAAACCGACGCCCATTTGGGCACATGGCCTCTGCACGGGCCCCGATGGGCCCCTACGGTAAAACACGTAGAACAGTTCCTAGAACCCATGCGAGGCTTTGCGAGTCGCAGCCACTCGCCCAGTCCCGCTTTTTGATTGAAGTCGGTCAAGTTCTGTCACTTGACGAAAATAGTTATTACGCCGAAGAAAAAAAAAGAGCAGCAACAATTTCAGATAGTTGACAACAATCGAAAAAGGAGAGCGGAAATCCAGACTACCGGTAGCTAGAAGGAAGCAAGAGAATAAAGGAGGGAATAACTTGGCAAGTTGCTTTCAGTTCTTGAAAGTTGGACTCACCTCAAAAAAGTCCCAGTTGGACAAGCAGACAAGCAGTTGCCCTGCCGTAGCTAAATCCAAGGAAGCTTCTCCATTTGCCTAGAGAGAAAAAAGCAGCGATGGAAGCAACATCACGTCATGATGTCGTGCTCGCATTGTGGCAGAATGATGACTCCCAGCGCGCGGATTGAGAACAGAGCGAAACGAATGGGTCGGTTGTTGGCTTGATGCGATCCACTCCACTCTGATCTAATCTACATGCTATCTCTGATTAGTTGAATGGAAGACCGGTGTGAGCATGTAACCTTTTATCAAATGTAGCAAAAAGTGAGAGCTATTTTCTGGGTTTGACAGAGACAAGCCTCCAGGCTAGAGTTCGGGCACCCAGTGGCACGAGGCAGCAGAACTGTGTGGCGTGGTGGGTCAACTCTGTGGTTACTATTTCGGAATGTACCCTACTTGGAGAAACGAAATCAGTTTTCCATATTCTTCCGTCTTGAACCGCTCTTTGAAGCCGCTTGTGCTTGTACGAGGAGATTCTGAAGCCTCGAGTGTCTCGGTTGCTCAGCAAGCTAGCTGTGGTGTGTACTGCTACTGCCGTAGCTGGCTAGTGCAAAGTATAGTTTGTTACAAAGGTGTGAAAGAGACGACGTACTCTGTAGTAAAATATGCTGCGATTTGCTTCATTACGATATGCTAGGCCATCGACCCGAGCCTTTTGTAATGCTCTTGCCGTCTTCCACGCTCTGAAGTTTGTTCGCTCGTTGATACGGCACTGTACCGTATGTGATTGTGTGATAAAGACTGCGCAAACGACTACCTCAGTCTCCGTCAGATCGGAAAAATCAAATGTGGCTTCCTACGAGGGGTAGTTCGAGCACCCTTGGGTTCAATTTTTACGAATTCTTGGTCCGGCATGTACTGTCCCGTTAGTGTGGACAAGTGGTGCTTCATCAAGCTTCATCTTTTGCCCAGATTGAATTCTTCCCGCGTGTGCCGCTCAACAAGCCGTGTGTTTTGGGAAGTGAACTCAGCTGCGAGAATGTCATTTGCTGCACGGGAGACCGTCGAATCGGACGTTGTGGTGGCTGGACTCCTTTGGAATCAGAGCAGGGGCTCCTTTGCCGGTGTACCACGGAGAAGATTGTTGCGGGCCAGTATCCAGCAGATACAGAAGCCTTGATCAAGAGTGTCTCGGTTGCTCTACGGTCTGGTTTTACAATGGCGAGCTGGCCAGTGCAAGTGAAATTTGTAAAGAAAGCTTGCACTGCAATTTACTGCTATCATATTTCTATCATTAAGTTCAGCTTTCTATGTTTGGTTATGCTTGGCTACACTACTGATCTTTGTAGGGTGTGGGCTGTTACACTTTCTGACTGGATGGATTGAATCATTCAAGGCTGGAGCTGCTTGTTGCTTGTGTGGGGGTGCCGATCGCCCTTATGTTTGTGAAAAAGTCTACTCGTTGTACTCAGCCGAAGAAATCTTCTGGAGGTTAGACGGAATGCGTTTGCGGACTTCACCATCCGATTTCTGCTGAAATTTGACTTGTTTGCTGGTCCAACCGCACACCTTGCCCTTGATCTTCTTCTTGCAAGTGGTCATTACGTACTGGTCCAAGGCGAAACTTCGCGGCTGAAAGAGTGGTAGAGAGTAGTGAGTCAAGAGCAAGGTTAGGCAACGGAGTTGAAAAAATGGATGAACAAGGATCGTTGAGCGATGGAGGACTTCACGTACGTCTTTATTTGGGGCCTGCGGAACCAGAAGAACCCATATTTAGAAGGTGCAAGTTGGAGCAATGAGAGGAGGCAGGTGAGAGTTTTTGGAAGCTAGCGAGAGCAATGAGAGGAGGCCATCGGAGAACTCAACAAATGACTTACAGCAGTGGATGTTTCCCCGGTTGTGACGGCCAAGCCAGCGGTTACGGTTGTGACGGCTAAGCCAGCCAACATTTTGGTTGCATCCACCACTGATTCCTGATTGTTGAGAATGCCTGTGACAATAGACACCGGCACCATCCGCTGTGTGTATGACAGTGGCACCGTCTGTTCCGCTCGTTCTACCAGGCGCTCACAGACCGACAGCGGCACCATCGGTTCGTTCGGCGTAGACGCTTTTGCAGCGGCTGCTTCTTCCTTCTTTCGTTGGCGGTTTGCGCGAGCCCTTGCGTTCTTTGCTAGTCTCTTTGCTTCCTTCAAAGCGGCTGCTCTTGCGTTGGCTTCCTTCTTTTTTGCTCGACTCTTCTTTCGGCACTCGTAGTGTCTTTCCTTCTGCGCTTGTGTCTCAACACGTTTCTTCTTCTTCGGGACTTGCGTTTCGGTAGTAGTTCCCTTCTCCGCGACGGCAGACTTGGTCGACATGATCTCCTTCTTCGGGATTTGCTTCTCGGTACATGCAGTGGTTCCCTTCTCCGTGACGGCAGACTTGGTCGACATGATCATCTTCTTCGGGATTTGCTCCTCGGCAGTGGTTTCCTTCTCCGCGACGGCAGAGCTGGTCGACATGATCTTCTTCTCCGGGGTTTGCATTTCGGTAGTGGTTTCCTTCTCCGCGACGGCAGACTTGGTCGATATGATTGGTATTGGCTTGGATGATGGGTTGTACGGTGCGTTGATGGCTTTGTTGAATATGAATCGAATCGAATGATCAATCTGAAGCAATTTTAAAATTACTAGCTAGAGTAATTTGTGAGCCATATTGAAGGCTTGTTTGGAACGGCGAAGAGGAACTTTCTGAAATTCAAAGCGCGTTTGAAATGAATTGAATCTTTAATGTTCAGGGGAAGAACCGCATTTTAAAGTTTAAAATTGAAAGCGCGTTTGAAATCGAAATCGGTTAAGTCCTACATAAATAAGCCTGCTATGCTGTTATCTCCCTCGAGCAACCTTGTTTCGAAGCTCCCAAGGCTAGACTGCTAATAACAAGCCCACCAACACGAACCAAATACTGCGGTAGCAAGTATGAACTTCGGTTGTGTTGACAAGGAAAACGACAAGGAAGACGATCTGCAAGTCGTATCAAAGATATCCTAAATTGGAGCTAAAAAGAGCGATTGATTCGAAGAACTCAGAACCCCATAAGATCCCTCATTCGATGAAAGTCCTTTCGTGCTTCCTTGTTCTGTTCAAAGGGATACTTGGCTCCAATGGCATGTGCACAAATAAAACCTGAGAGGAGGGACATGTCATGGCAGTTCCCGGGCGTTGTCCAGTTGGAACAATAGTAAATTCCGTCACGTCCTTGGATCAAACGCAGACTGAGCTGGGCCATCACATTCCATCCCGAATAGAGGGGATGGGCACGAGCATGATTACCGGTGCCTCGAATCAGTGCGGGATCATAGGACTTGCCTTCACCCATGGCATGGCCAATCAACATGACGGGCTTTTGGTCTAGAGGCAAATGATATACTTCGTGTGTTTGGACTCCAAAGTTGTACTGGTTCTCGATATTGATGCTCCCATCGGGCCGCTGTGTGACCTCAACATAATTAGATGCCCGCTTGAGGGCTTCCTCACGGTATTCCTGCGGAATCACAGAGCCATCCGAATGCACAACCGCATGCATGTGTCCAGTGGAGGGATGGTGATCATCAGCGTAGACTGGTGTAGACAAGATGGTGTCGGCAAAGGTCAATTTGGAGTGATCCTTGTAGATGTTGCCCACGGCATTGGAAGCACAGGCAAAAATGACACGATCGACGTCAACGTAATTGTCAAATTCGTCATAGACTCGTTTCTTGCCATTGGGCAGCACTTTGACTTCACGGACTCGAGTCTTTTCCTTGAGGTCTACATTTTCAACCAGCAAGCTAAACACCTGACGAAGTCCTTTGCCAGCATCTTTCCAGGTAACGCAGCTGGTGATATTGCAATCGTTGGGTGACCGCACCGATGGTCCTTTCCATGTATTCGCGGGCGTAGGGTTTAGTGGGATCTGGTCTTCGATAATTGGTCCAAAGACTGCAGGGAAAGGACGGAGTTCATCGACCAAGACACTGGCAGTGTATTGAGGTGTAAAGACAATGTTCCACCAAGCATCACTTCCTCCAATCCACTTGTAGAGTGAATAGAGTGGTACGACAGTTAGCGGATTCAACAGTCCCAGTCCTTGATGGGCATCATACATGGAAGGCAGGTCATTCCACCGCCAGGGGGCCCATCTCAAAGTAAATAACTGTGTCACTCGACGGGAGAATTCAACCACAGCATGGTACCTGGCAAAATCACCCTTGAAAATCTCTCGCAAAGACCCAGGGTAGACCTCGGGGTCACATTCCCAAAGCTGACCTTCATATCCAGGCACCTTGGAATTCAAGAGCCAACTAAGGGGTTGATGGACTGTCTCAACTCCGAGCTGGTCTAACATGCAAGTGTAGTTTTTGTAGTAAATGGGTGGCCATGCAGTAACAGAGACACAGGTGTCAACAATCGTATCTTCATTCCGGAAGGGTGAGAAGTCCCATTCGAACGTCTTGGCATTGCCACTAATCTGTTCGCGTGCTTCATAAAGGATGACTTGATAACCGGACTGAGTCAACGCCCAAGCAGCACTGCATCCAGCAATGCCTCCTCCAATGATAGCCACCTTGGGAACCGCTTCATCTTGAGAAGAAATCTTGAGTGGTTCCGATCCATTGGTGAATCCAGGCACTGTCACAGGCATGGCCCGAGCCAAGAGGCGTCCCAAGGGTGGAATAAACCAACCAATCCAAGAAATCATCTGTCTTAGTGACATCCAAAAGGGCAAAGTTGCTGCCACCACCACGATGCGTTTTCGAGTTTCCCGCAACATTTTGGCCCTTCGTCTAATATGCACTTCCGGGGTGGTGGAATCACGAGCTACAATGGCTTCTTCTGGCGTAAGCTTGCCAACTGCCAAGGGTGCCAACCATTGAGCGGCCTTGTCAGTTTGTCCATGAACAGTGAAATTGCCAAAGAAATGATCCAAATCCAATCCAGCCGCCGTCTTGATCATTTCGGCCCCACCAGGATGATCATTCACAAATTGCGTGACATCGTAGACAATGCCTTCGTAAGTGACGAGCATTTTGTCGCTGTTGGTGCATTTCTGAACCTCAGCCAAGGACATTTCTGGCAAGCCCTGGACTAATTCTTCGTCCAGATTAACTAGAACACGTTTTCCAGGCCCTGATTGACAAGTTTCTGTTTCTTCATTGCTTTCTTCTTCTTCTTTGCTTTTGCCTCCGCCATCGTCATTGCTACCTCCAAACAGACGATTCCAGAGAGATCCACCATTGTCATTGATAGCTGAAGTTGCCAAAAAAACACCAGTAGAATCCAATTCATCTCCCTCATCAATGTCCTCAGTAGATTGATCCGTATTGCCAACTTCTTCCTCTTCCTTTTTGGTATCGGCTGGTAGCGACCACAAGGACAATAAAGATGTCACTTGAACGAAGTTGGTAGCACCATTATCTTTTTTAACGCTCCCAGCAATTCCTGTAGCAGAAGTCACACCAACACCTCCCACCAACACAACAGCGCTTCCGGCCAAACGCCAAACGGTTACTTGGGATGTCAGACGCTGGGCTACCCTTGCTGTCACAAAGCTGCGACTGGCAGTGGTAGTCAGGCCCTTTTTGCCGGTAGCTGCCACTTGAAGAAGAGCTCCCCGTGTTGCCAATATCATGGTCAGAATGATTTGCTAATGATGGCGAAGACTTTCTAGTATGAGTCGAGGAGGTACTGCACACAGTTGTTTTGTGCCCACACTAGCTGGGTACTAGCTACTGGTAGTAGACGGAAAGGACTCGCATTATTTTGGTGGCTTCAGAAACAGAGGCTGATCCGTCGCCACCCACGCAGAAATCGTGGCATCGACAATGACAGATTGCAACGGTGAAAAGATCGCACGCGACGCCTAGCTAGGCGGAGCCGGATTGTCTCTGAAATTCAGTCTTGGAGATCGCAAGCTATCCGCGTTGGGAAACCAGCTCGAGCAATGATCCAACTGGTGCGCCCATGGCGTGCTCATCCGTAATGGGTACCGCCACTAGCTAGCTAGTAGAGAGAAGGTCCCTTCCGAAGGATCCAAGAAACAGCAGAGACCACTGCCTACCGTACTATTAATAGCTAGCTAGCAACATAAGAGGCTTCCTACTGGTAGATCAGGTTGACAGCACATACGGTACTACATGTAGACGGGGTTCCACGAAGAACCTGATGCCTTTTACCCATACAGTCCCCACATGATCTGTTCCCCTGCTCATTGCCCTGAATATGCTCTTTTAGTGCTTGTGCAGTCTCTCCATACTGGCTTGGTATATTAATTAACGTATAGAGTATGAGTTTACAAAAACTGCTCCAATGATGACGCTTTACGTGACCGCAATGCTCTGCCCTCTGCCCAGACAGAGCAGGTTGCATTTCACATGAGGGCATCTAACAACATTCAGATCCTGTCTCCGATACAAAAGAAGCGTGAGAACGACTCGGCTCTCACTCATCACTCACTCGCTCTGCAGTGGTGGAAACTCGCCATGGCGCGGCCAAGGCGATCTTGGTTCGATGATGAAAGTTTTGTCACACTGGATTGCCCCGCGGTTTGGTTCTTACCTGATGCTCCAATTTGGCTGAGGCCGGTTTGGTGCCATGGTCGGTCGATACGGTCCTTCCCATGCCATGTCAGAGCTCACAGAAATGTGCAGTGACCTTGCTTCCATGCAATGGATGCGACTCTTTAGTTCGAGCGTGGCCGTGTCTTCGTATTCTGTGCGGCCATCGATCCGCATGGACGTTAGAATTGGCGACTGCAGAAAACTACAGCGGTGCCATTGGGGCCGCGCGACCTTTCAATTTGGATGTCAAAGGCTGCAGCAAGATTCACGAAAACGGACATCGATCTGGACGTGGAGCCTGGCGAGAACAGGCGATGCACTGGCGGCTGGGAAGAGTTACAGCCCTGTCCAATGCTTCCGATCTTCCTTCCAATAGTGAAATACAGGAATCTATGACTATCTCTAACATGGGTTCGCAATTATGACAAGAAGGGATGATGATGATGGACAAGTAGCCCATTGTACATAGAATCAAGAAAATCCGGATTAGTGCCTTTTTGGTTGACAGCTTGACTTGACAACAGCTTAGAAATCCAATCATCTTGGAAACAGAGTGTCATCGATCTTTGCTACTATCTGCTTTCCCAAGTGGATACCAACTTGAGCTCCAGAGAGCCAAGCAGCTGAAATTTTATGTTGCTGTGGCGTCCCCTTGAAAGATCCTCGCTTGAAAGATACTTTGCCCACGAATGAATGTCAACAACAGAGACGTGGTGTCTGGCCTTCACCCGTTTGAGAATCGCCACCACACCAACAACCATGCATACTCGTATGCATGGATGCAGAGGAAACCACCTTGGTTTTCGCCCTGGTTCCTGACCTTTAATTTACTGTAGCAATTTGAGTACAAACCTTCAAGGGAAGGTTGACTGTCGTTTCTTCAAAAATGTAGGATGGGGTACATATTACTTAAAGGCAACATCAAAGACTTAATGATTTTATCTCAATCGTGGAACCTGGGCGTTAACCGTCGGTTGGTTTCCCATAGTAACATACCTTCAACTTAGGACCGGTTCGGTGACCTCGGATTCGGTCGTTAAGTAACCTCGACCTCGGCGTGCGCCTCGGTCTTCGGTTACTTAACGACCTCACCCTCGGTCAACCTCCCTAACCTCGACCTTCCGGTCTCGGTTTCCTAAGTATGAAGGTCTGTTCTCTATAAGAACCCTCGGGCCTCATCAAGCATTGTGTTTGAGCCTTTGATTTTGTTCCCGACATCCCTCCCTCGATCCTCTGATCCTTTCGTTCTGGCGGACTATACTGGTAGGCAGAGTGGCTGCCAGCACCGATATCAAGTTTACTGTTTCCTCTTGTTTCAACGATCGGCTAAAGCAATTTGCAACCATCATGTACAAGTCTCAAAAACGTTCGCCATGGCTTTGGCTGGCTTTGGCCACGGTTGTAACACTCCTCTCCACATCCAGTGAAGTCGTTGACGCCTTTGCTGCCAAGAAGAAACCAAACAACAAGAAAAAGAAAGGAGGCAACGCTGCCTCCAATCAAAAAGGTTTTGGTGCCGCTCCACCCACTCTCGAAGAAGTCACTGCCAAATTCAAGACGCGGTTACCCGATGACGCAGGAGCTGTGCCTTGTCCCTGTGGCGCTGGCCCAACCTACGCCGATTGCTGCGCTCCGTATCACCAGCAAGAAAGATTTCCAGAATCACCCCTGCAAGTGTTGCAGTCACGATACTCGGCCTTTTGCTATCGACTGGTACCCTACATTATTCAGACGACGCATGCGACTTGCCGTGATTTTCGCGACAACAAGGTGACATGGGCCAAAGATTTAAACCGAGATGGAATGTTCGATTCCTTTGATTTTATTGAGCTGCAACCAGGACCTGAAGAAATTGTTGGCAGCAAGGCTTACATTGACTTCACTGTCAGGATGCGGTCCAGAGATGGAGAACAGCAAGAGACGATTGTTTCTGAAAAATCACTGTTTTTGATTGACCCAGACACTCAGATATGGTCGTACGCCAGCGGGGAAGTAAGGTCGGGAGTTCAAGGGCTGGAAGATACCATCTTGAATCAATAATAAGCGGAAGCGACGTGTCGAGTCCCCTTTGCACTATGCGATTGCGGCATTTGGAGTTGTGCGCCTAATGAACAACCAACAGAAAGGAACGAAGGAGAACGATTGAATCATTCAAATATGAAATCAGCTAGACAACAAAGGTCACATACATGCATGTATGTAAGCGATGTACATGACATTGTAGTCAACGGAGAAAAACTACTTTGCTATGTGTACGGGTCAGTTGACATCCACCGAGCAAAAGTTCGACCTACATTGTGAACGTGTACTATTGTGGTGATGTTTGTCTTATATTTCGGTTTAGGGTGATGGGCTTACCCCTTAGTTTTCTATCCTATTCGTTTCTTATGCTTGGGCTCTCCACAAACTGTGGGTTCACGACTTGCTTCTTTTATGGAGGCTTTGGAAAGCTGGCGAGAAAACACTATCATTTCAGAGTTACTTTGGGTCGTACATGTAGGAGCAGAGGCTCAGTGCTAGAGCCTTTGATTTTCTTTCCATATCAAAAGCATTGCTACCAGTTGGTTGGTTAGACATTTCGGAACGTGCGATCTTGGGCCACGCCGTGCATTGATTCAATCGCGTCTTTGGCAATGCCCAAATTTGATTCCATTTTGCGCTTGGCCATAGCGCGTATGGCCTCCTCTTTTCGGGTCGCCGTTTCCAAAATGAACGCCCCTCGCAAGTATTTTGCTCGAAGTGATGGGTGCAACGCTTTCCAGACCTCTGGGCTCACAAAGGAACCGCTTGGCGCTTTGTCAACGGGCGAATCTTGATTGCTGGGCTTGTCAGGATTGTTCATCGTGTTGTTGTGGGCCGATGGCGCAGTGGTCGCTGTCGGGGTGTTTGACAAAGCAGTTGCTCCATGGCTGGTAGCCGTTTCTCCTTTGCCGATCGCTGTGTTTCCAGTAGCAAAACCGCTTGCCGTATTGTCAACGGGCGAATTCGGATGCAGCAATGGATGGGGGGAAAGCTGGCCGTTGGCGAGCAGTCGAGGAGCCGCTGGTGCGATGTCCTGTAGTTGGAGTGCGATTCCGCAGCTGATGAGCCGATCTTGTTGATCCTTACTCAGCTTCAAGAAATTCGGCGAAGTGACCACGGCTGTCACAAAGTCTTGGGCACGCAAGCTGGGAGCTACAGGAGCGGAGACTCCATGGTTGTTGGGCGCCATTGTCTGGTTTCCATTGATGTTTCCCATCGTATTGACAGAAGCGACGTTGGTGAGATTTCCTGCGACATTGTTGCCAGCCACGACCCTCGCAGTCTCCAAATCTTCCATCGCAAAAAGCACAGCAATTCGGCTTTGATCCTGTTCAGACAACATTTGAAAACCCGGCGAGTTTAGGAGTTCGCGTAGACTTTCGGTTTGAGGAATATCCGACATGATTTCTTCGTAACGTCGGCTTGGAGTTTCTTCGCTTTGTTGCCTCTTTCTCTGCGACTGGTTTCGCCTGCGTTGAAGGAAAGCTCTGTGTTGCTTGATAGGTATGAGTGTATTTGAAGGATTGGGTTGGCTTTGATGGCTGCTTCGACGCTTTCTTCTTAGTGGACAGAGCGGCTGCTTTTGCTTTTGTCTTCTTGACTTGGTTTGGTTTGTCAACGGAATTTGTGAGGAGAAAAATGAACTCGTCAAAACGTCTCCCTCGGAAACAAGAAAAATCAAAAACCGAAAAAAATCAAATCGAACGAGTTCAAAACGCCATGTGGACATTCCTTGAGCCTTGAGTGATACCGGTACCGGTACTACGTAGCACCCAAAAGCTAGCTAGCTAGCTGGTGGTACGGTAGGGGACAGGGCCCTGTAAATGTTGCCACAAGATTCTGAGGACCATGGCGATGGACCTGCAACTGAGAGGAGGGAAAGGAGCAAACTGTGGTACTCGGCAATGAAGATGAGCGCCGAGTCGGGCCTCATCATTATTTCAAGATAGGAGCGGCTTGACTCAAGGGCTTGACAGTACGACTGTACTACCATAGTACGGTAGGGTGGGAGGAGTAAAGGACGCTGCAGAAAGAGAAAAGGGGGACACCGCACGGCGGCTGCGAGAGATGCAAATCGTTTGTCAGAGCAGGCAAGCTGTGGCGAGCTAGCTTAGTTTAGCAGCTCTGCGTCGCAGCCGAAAGAGGTGATTGAACGATTGAATCAATCAGAACGCCCACAGGTGGCCACGTGTACCGGTAGTGTGTGAAGAGAGAATGGAGCTTCCGGCTACTGGTACCAGGTACAGTACAGAGAGGAGGTGCTTTCTTGCTACATACTAGTACATGTATTGTTACAAATAATTTACAGCTATCGTACTTGTACCATACAATCTTCTAGCCCGGTATAGATCCATGTTTCCGACAAAAACTTCTGGTCCACAGATTGGACCGTTTCGCCGCTAGCTTTCTTGATGGTGTATATTGGTATGCCATCTTTTGCATCGACGCGGAGGACGTGCGCAGGCTGGGGCAGAGGTTAGTCCAGACGAGAGGCGGCATTGGTCAGGTGACGGTTGGTTGCAAAAACAAAACTGCAGACAGGAGGAAAGAACAAACCTTTGTGTCACCTGTCAAAGGCGTGGAGGACAGGCCAAGAGTAGGACCTGCCACACCAAATGAAAAGAGTGCTTGGGTTGTTGATGACACGGCAACCAGCTGTCCAAAATGAGGATTCTGCAGCACTGTTGTGGCGGAAGCTGTAGTAGTAGAATTCCTCTTCTTCCTCCTCTTCATCCTCCTCTTGATGGGTCACATCGATGCCATCGGCTGTCGGCTTACGAGAGGGGCAAGGGGGCGAGTCTTCTTCAGGCTGTTGGGGCCAACAAGCGGTAAACGCACGATCAATCAGTACCACACCACATGTCTCGATTCTCTCCTTGGTTTCTTGTATTCCGTACATCCTGTACACAGTGTACTGCGCGGCTAGTGATGCCATCCTGTCTCCATCAGCTCAATGTCGGTGTGGTTCCCTGCTTGCCTCGTTGCATTGTTGTTTCGTGGGTTGATTTATTTTATGAGAGGTTGTCGACCCTTTTCAAATGGGCAGCGTCGTGGATTCGTTGGTTTTCGGGTTGGTTTAGATTGGCCATTCAGCACGCCACCAATGCGGCGTGGCTGGCGGCTCTCTCACATTTTCGTTCCGAAGGAAAGGAACGCACAGTACTTCGATCGACAAGGTGAAGGAAGAGAAGCGCACAACACAACACAGAGCTACTACCTACTAGCACAGAACCCCACAGCCACAACGCCGCCACAACCAACTTGGGGCTCATCATGTCCTCCACTTCTGCTTGTTGGGTTGATCTAAGGGAATGGGTGCACTCCGTGGCACCACAAGCCATTGGTGGTTGGTGGTTTGTTATCAACTTGTTGGTGTGTATCTACTCGTGTCTTCTACTGGCTCTCGATATCATCTGCGAAGAAGACACAAAAGGCAAGATCTTTGTGGCCAGATACTACCTCTGGTACAGCTTGATCACCACGGGAATTTGGTTGGCAGAGATTGGTTTGGAAGTCTACTACAGTTTTGAACCATCCTCCTGGGAGCAACGGATCGAACTTACCATGGCCGTGGTCTTTACGGCAAGTTCCTTGGACGAATTGCTGGAGTGGAATCTACGAGATCAGAACATTTATTTCATGGAGTTGGATCTTTTGGCAAACGCAGTGGTACCTTTACGCAAGCTGCAAAACCTTCCAACTGGCACGAGAAAAGCAACAAAGAAGGGACTACGAAACTCTGGCAGACGCGCAGGCACAGGAACAAACGGAGATCTGACGAGCTATTCATGACAATGTACGGTCAAATAAATAATCACCAAATCAATCTGCTTGATGGAGCAGGGAGGCGGTCAGCCTTCTGGTGGTAAACTCCGATGTTGCTGTGTTGGACTCGCGTCACATCATTCATTGACTCTGGATCCCGCTGAACCACACAGCCAAACCAAGGAACCCCAAGGAGACGCTTGAATGCTGGTTGGTTGAGGACAGCACGGAAGTCGCGGAAGAATAGGGTTGGAAGAGCCACCAGGAGGGAAAACACCGTAGGACACTGTGGAAGGAGCCAACTCTTGAACCGAAGACACGACAACTCTCTCGATTAGTTTGCTGGGGGGTCGACTTCCTCCTTGACACGGGCAACATCTTCACTCTCAGCTGCACTGTAAAACAGTCAATTAAGCTTCTTTATTCTTTATATACTACACAACAATAATCTGCTTTCAATTTCTCCCCTTGTAAGGAAACAGGAAGAACCGTTCATAGATATGTATTAGATGGGTCACAACCACCTCACCACTGCATTCGATCTAAACATTCGTCTCATTTAGTATTCCATGCCATGGACATCGTAACGTTCACGCTGTTCCCGTCGCCCGGTACTGACACCGCGTGTATCCAACAGCTCAATGGCACCGCCATCATCTGTAGTCATGGTATGAACCCGACGGATAGCGGGAGTGTCGCGTCGGAACAGACCTTCCAACCGACCCTTGAACATGGCATCGAGATGCTTGATTTGCTTCATACGCCTGATGTTCATTACGTGGCTAGTAGTGCCCATGTATTCACCGTCCATTCGTTCGTAAATGTCCTGGACAGGAGGAGCATGCGACGCGGTTGGTGCAGGTTGTCCTCCGTGCTCCCTCATGGACATGTCAAAGGCTTTGGAAGTGGCTTGCAACACATGTTCACTAATGCTCTTGTCGGTGCCATCATCAATCTCAGGATACCAACGTTGGACCTTGACCACGGCACTCGGCTGGTTGATCGCCCTGGTAAGACCGTCGGCAATACTACTTTCTCTGTCTTCGATTCGTCTCTGGGCTTCCGTGTCATCGATGTTCCCGGCTGTAAGGTCATCATCCTTGACATACACTTCATTGACCAGAGTGACTTGCTGATCTGCGGATTGACGAGGATGCCAGGAACGATGGTCAATGACATCCAGATTGAGCTTTGTTAACTCTTCCACAATTGTCGTCTGCAACCCCCAGCCTGGCTGACTCTTGGTCTGAATGGTGTAAAAGACGGCAGTTCGTTCGCGGATGCCCTTTTCTAGAAGAGAGTTGGGATCGTCCTGGCCGCCTCCGAGAACGGCTGTTTCGGCCTTTTTGTTGAAGTAGGAAATGCTGGTTTCCAGGCAGAAGGGAGCAACAATGGTACTGGCCAAGACCGCTAGGACTACGGCGGCGTACAATTCTTGATCGATCATGCCATTGGACACAGCAAAGACGGCAATGACAAAGGCAAATTCACCTTCGGCAGCCATGCTGAAACCAACCACAAGGCAATCACGGAGATGTGTCATTTTGAAGCGACGGGTCCCCAATTGGAAATTCGGGACCATAAAACCAACACCAACTTTTCCCAAGAGTGCAAGAGTGAAGAAGGCTCCTTGCATCAAGACTTTGGGATTCCCGAACTTTCCAAATGGGACTTGGAAACCAATACTGTGCAGCATCAACGAAGGAAGCAAAGGGTAGATAGTTTTTCAGATGAGACATCACATCCGTTGTCAATGGGCCCGAATCAAAAGTTGACAAGAGGAAAGCTTACCTGGCAGCAAAGAAGATCCGCAATAGCCATTGCATGACACGCTTGAATTGATGGACAAACATGTGGTGGGTTCCATGATCTGAGCAAAAGACAAGACCAGCAATGAAGGCACCCATGAGTGGAGAAGCCTTGCAATAGTAGGTCAAAGGAACTAAAGCCAGCAGAAGACTGAGCATAATGGCCATGGACGTCCAGTCTCGGTTGGGGTCCCCTGGTTGACCAATTGGGTCCAGGATGAAACGGTTGAGGAACTTGGGCAGGACGAATACAGCAAGGGCTCCTCCAACTACAAGGAATCCCATGGCGCTGACAATAGGAATCACCATATCGATGGTTGAAGCATCCTCTGCGGCAAACGCTTGAAGTTGAGAGAGGATCACCACTGTGAACCGTAAGTTGAGCAAGGGTGAGTTTTTTGTCATGTTGGCAACTCCGCATGCTTCAACAGCATGAAAATGTACGTACAAGCAACCATGTCATCAATAATTGCAGCAGCAACAATGAGCTGTCCAACGGGAGTGTTGACAATACCAGTTCTTCGGAGGACATTCATGGCAATACCAAGGGAAGTTGGAGCAAAGGTACAGCCAGCAGCGAGTGCAGCTGCACCACGGTACCCGAGGGCAAAGGCAATACCATAGGCCAGCAGGATGGGAAGAAAGGTACCCACGAGGGCAATGGCCAAACCGCGGCTTCCAATGAGCCTCAAGGTTGTCAAGTCAATATCAACACCGGCTTCAAGGACCAGGAGAATCAGTCTATTAAACATTGGAAGATCATGCGTGAGAGAGCGACCCAGCTTGGTACCGAATAGACCTGAGAGCTTCCTTCCATCCTTTCAACTCACCCGATTTCTCCAAGCAACACAAAGGATTCTTCATAAGGCACAAAGTCAAGAAGGTTTGGTCCCATGGCAATACCCACGAATATTTCGCCAACCAAGGAGGGCATTCCCAAGAAACGAGAAACTGCAAGACCCCCGGTGTAGATGGCAGCAAGGAAGACAAGAGCTGCATAGAGATCCGTGTAGGCAATGTGGACACCCTATTGGAATGACAGAACAAAGATGGTGGTAGTGTTAGCAGTCAGTTCACGCAAAATTTAAATATTAAATGACACCTCCTCCATAATACTCACAAAATGTTCTTCTTCTCCATAGGCATCTCCATCTCCTCCTCCGCCTCCACCTAGGAGACGGGAAAATTGAGCGACTGTCTCTACCATTTCAGTCATCTTGATGTTATGATACGAAGCAAATGATATTATGAATCTTTCGTAATTTCGTCGAGGTTTGTTGGGAGTTGATCGATGACTCACTCGACGGATCTGTGATGTTTTATGAGAGCTGTTTTTGATGGCGGCAGTCAATTTGTGAGCATTCGATAGTATCCCGCGCACGTGCACATGTGCCGACGTCAGCTTCAATAACTAGAGGGGGCAGTTTAACAAATGATGGCATGTCGACGTCACCCTGAGTTTTTCGGAACGCTAGAATGGAAAAATTGGATCCGCTGTTGTTAGGATCGTGCCAAACAGTCCTAACGTTGATACTTGTAGCAGGGCAGTTTGAGCGTTAGATAACTTCCACGCCCTGAGCTGACCGTTGTTTAGCAACCGAAAGCACCACTTTCCCTCATTTTTTGCAACGGCTACACCTTTTCAAAAGTTCACAAACGCTCGAGCTCTAGGATCAGCTTGGGACGCTCTTCTGACGTCTACGAGACGTCGTTCCTTCGCATTCAGGTAACAGCCATGAGAAGAGTGAGTGAGGTGAGAGGATGATCCAGGAAGCTATGCATACATGTATCAAGCGCCCAAGACAGTCCGGGGATGGTGATTGCTTCCTCGGTTTGTTTGGGAAGCAAGCCAAGGCAATTGCAGCGACGATTGTCTCAGAGACAAAGGCTCTCCTCTAGTACTACTAGCTAGCTAGCTAATAGCTTCAGTAAGGATTCGCATGCTGCTCGATCATCAGGTTCGTACAGGTCTGTACTGGCTGCCGGTATGCTCCGTATTGGAGCGAGTTTCTAGCCGCCCAGGAACCATCAAGAGGAGCTCCATCAAGTACATGTGTCGGTATGAACATACCGGTACCATTAGTATGATTGGCAAATTGGAGGGAAGGGAGATGGCCCTCCCCGACATGGCACCAAGAGGAAGTGTCACGCAACGACAATGATGCAATAGCTGCTGGAAAGAAACTGACGTCAAGGCACGGTACATGTAGTACCGGTACATACTAGAGGGCGGTCAAGAGACGAGGAGGTTGGCTGACGGCCCAGCAAACAGTTGTTAGCCGGTTGGTAGTGCCTGTAGGTTTCGCCGGATCAATTGATGACAGCAGGATACAGCAGCACAGCATCTACGGTAGCTAGCTAGGTGATGCATCAAACCTGGCTGATCAAACCCCAATCCCAACGATATTCGCTGATTGATTCCTACCATCGTCCCCTCACCTCTCACGCGGCCTCGAAACAACCCTACCAATACCCACGTCGAACCTGGCTGGCTAGCAACGCAGAGTCCAATGTAATCGAAGTGAGAGGAAGAGCTATCTAGACTGTTAATACTGTGCCGGTACTACATTTCTGCAACAGTAGTTGCACAGCCTCAGTATGTGCTTCACACTACTACTTAGTGGATCTTACATACCCTCAGGATCCAGCACAGTATGCTACGTAGAAAGTCCATGGTATCAGCAGTCATTGAAACAAAGATCCTCTCAATAAGACTCTCACTATTAAATAAACTGCAACACAGAAGATATAACACCGGCATTAAGACCAACCACATACTGAGAGGATTCCGATTTTGCCTTAAGTAGCCACAGGAGGTATCCAATGGGATCCGATTCGTACCGTTCTGTCTCTCAGTTGTCGTTGTGGTATACTCAGCGAATCGAATCGTACGTCATTGCCGCATACTGAAGCCACCGTACGAATCGTTCGTGTATACTCAACAAAGAGGCAAACAACGGGCAAATCCCATGATCGATCGGTGGATCCTCTCCGTACAGTTCAGTTCAGTTTCCTCAGTTTTGAGCTCATTATTTTCATTCCTTCTACTCTATAAAGGAACTCTGCCAAAATTCCAGCTCAACCAAACCAACAATTGCTTAGTTGACCAAACAATTCCTCCACCATGGCCAACAATGCCAATGATGGAGCCTTTGGGTTGGAGGACGTGCCGGATTTGCCTGGAGCACCCACGGAACAGCCCAAGTACAACCGGGATTACCATCGTCTCTTCGTCAAATTCATGAGCTGGCTGCACAAGAGGACGTACACCAAGGCGGCTCGCTTCCAACCCAGTGCTTTGGCCGGCATCCAACCACATCACGTTGCCGACTACTTGAAATGGCGTGCGTATGGTACGACGGACGTTGACTTCAAAGACCTCGAGCAGAATCCAACTTGCCGCTCCTCTCCTCTTGAGCAAGACAAGAAGGCTATATCCTTCTACATGCCCATCAAGGGTGCCACATGGAATGGAACCTCCGGCAATCCAACCAAGTCCGATCCTGTGAACGAAGTGGTCAAGGAAGTCAAGAAAGCGGAGACTCAACACCGCGGCAAGAAGTCCTGTGCCACCAGGGATTTGACGGAAACTGAGTATCGCAAGGTGGTCCATGAACTCTACGGCAAAGGGAGCTTTGAATCGACCATCCGTACAGCCTGCATGTTGAAGCAGCAAGTCCATCTCATCACCAGGACGGACGACATCTCCAAGTTGAAGTATTCCGACTACAAGCCGCATCCAGACTTCCCTTTTGCGCTCAGTTGCAAGGTGCATTGGTCCAAGAATATTTCGGAAGAACGACAATGCCCTGACCAAATCATTCTTGGGTCGATGGATACCGACTTTTGTGCTATGCTCGGATTGGCGAATTACATGGAGGCGTCTTCAACTACGGGTATGGCGCGCTGGTCGGGAAGATGCTTCCTCTTTACTCCCGAAAGTGATCCTAAGTTGGCTCCCAGCACTGCAACGCAGCCTACCGCAACATTCTCAAGGCTGTCTTTTTGTCGGCTCCATTTCTGGCTGTGGCGCCCCTCATTGCTGGTGTTCTTGGGAGTCACAGCATTCGGAAGTTTGCTGCAACTCTGGCAAGAGGGATGGGTGCTACTGCTGAGAAGTTGACATTCGAGGTCGCTGGAAGCTCGCTTGTCTGGACGGGTTTGATGCCTACATTTCGCCTGAACAGCCCTGGATCGACGCTCGTGTTGCCGAAAAGCTTTGCATGGGGGCTCCTATTGCCTACAAGCTACACCCGGATGCCAAAGAGTGACTCCCGACTGGTTGATTGAGCATGTGGTGCAAAGGACCACTGCTTTTACGACGGTGTCAACGACATTTCGCTTAACTTGGCTCTGCCTCTTTTGTGGCTGCTCTTGACGAATCTTGGAGGAGAGGATGGAGCTCCCGTTCGTGTTAGGATCCAAGATGCGTACGAGCGCATCAAGGCCGATGTTCCTGTTGGCGTCAACCCTGTGGTGAAAGTGCTCTCTCTATTTGGACGCACAACACCAAGCTCCACATCAACGAAATCGAGCCGATGGATACGGGAGGCGGCGGTGGCACGGCTGGTGGCACTACGACTGGCGGCACTACGGGAACGACCGGCCAGGCAAGCACTCGTCAAGTTGCCAATCAGTCTCGGCAGGTGACGGCTATGCAAACGCAGCAACAGGTACGACGAACGAGGAGATTCTGACAAGGATTATTGCGCAGCACAACCAGCTCCAGCAGCTCATTGCAGGAAGGTAGGACCCGCGACAGTTCGGCTGCTGCTTTGAGAGGTTGTTGGAGACTTGGCTTGGCGCGGAGCTGACGAAACTGAATGGAAG